TTTATTTGATGAAGTAAGCAGGCAATGCCTTTGAAAACCCTAGAGATTTTTAAAAAATCACCCTTCAGTTGAAGTAGGAACTGGCGCTGCTTGACGCGATCCAGCATTTTAACTCAGCTTTCTAGCGTTTTATGAACAACTGTCTGCAATCCGCAACGTGGATTTAAAAATTTCGTGCACACTTAACGTGCTACCGGGCAGAAAGAATAATCTTCTGCCGGAACAGTTGGCATGGCACATTTGCTGCAAAAAATCCTGCTAACGACATATTTAATCTCCATTCATAGAGACTACTTATTGGCTATCTGAGGCTGCATACTAAGCAAATTTCGAATTAAACTGCTAGTCCGCGTTCAGGTTAACTTTCGTGTCTCTAAAATGGCACATAAAGTATAAAGCGAAACTCGTGAATATTTTGCTGAAATTTCTAACCGGGTTGTATTGCTAGAGGGCGCTGCAGTACTTGTCCAGCCATTTCGCGCGGCTCGCCGTCGGAAGATTTGAAAAATCATCTGATAATTCCATCGCTAGTTTAGATCCAAATGGAAGAAAGTGAGTCCCATAATTGTTTATAGAATTTCTGTTCTTAAAGAAAGCATATTAGTTTCCCTCGAGTGGGTTTGATGAGCGTTTATTGTCCATAGTTATTTTTTTAGGGGACTTGCCCTTTTCTGGCTAACAACGTTGGTATGATTTTGCGCATTAAAAAGTCCAAAAGTCTAAATGCGCAGAGCAGGCATGCTTAAAGTACACTCGGTCCACAGGACAAATGAAGAGGCTCTTCATTTTTCACTTTAATGAGGGAAATTCGGGTAGCTGTGGTGATATTAAAACTGCGTTTCATTCTATGATAAGGATACCTAATCATTTTAAAAAAATATGGTAAAATAGAGTGGACTGTGATTATGTCGTTGATAAAGTGATAGGTAAATAATATTCCGACAAAGACAAGGGAGACTGAAATGGCCAGTTCTGGCTTATTAGCCGTTGTCACTCTGTCATTTTCTACTCACAGTGGCGCACCACTCGAGGCTCGAACTCACCACCTTTTTGATCAGCATCTAACACTCTAACCATTGAGCGACGAGTTCTTTCAATAATTAGATCGTTAGACTCGGATGAAAAAGGTCTCGAGTGGTGCATCACTGTGGGTTGAACATGACAGAGAGAACTGGCGATTCCAGTCTCTCGTGTCTTTGTCGGCAGTAATTTCTGTCTAAATTACTAGCCACCTTAGAAATGAGACCCAAGGCAGAGCAAGACGAATGGGTTCCGCTAGCGATCGATAAACGTTCGTTAACGAGTGTGATAATGATAGGTTTGATTTCCTTGCAGTATAAGTGTTACCAGCTGACTGATGGTTTTGGCCAAGCTGGGTAATCTCCCAGTTATTGCACTTTTAGGATGCTACGGGTCA